TGGCCTGTTCATCATTCCAGGTAAGTGCAGGGGCCGCACAGAGGGTCTCGGAGGGCAAAAAATGGGCCTACCGGAGGTTCTGGAAGTCTGGGAATGGGCCTGTTTCCAGCCTCTGGAGGGCCTCCGGACCCTGGGGGAAGCTGTTTTCGCCCTCCCGGAGGCTCAAGGAAAGCCTCCAGAGCCTGGGGAGGGCGAAAAATTTTCCCACCACCACCGTGGTTCAGGTGGCTGACTAGGCTACGCCCACCATGACCACACCTACCCAGCAATGGGGCAGCAAACCTGTTGCTAAAGGATCTGAAGCCTACCCCTGGTTATGAGGATCATGCAGGGGTGAAATGCTCCTGGTTCGGACCGGATCACTCGATCCAATAGCGATGATGGCGGGTGGTTCAGAGAACCGGTAGCAATAATCCCTGCACTCCCCCACCATGCCCAGCTGAACCACACAATCATCAGAGGCTTTTTTTTTTTTTACTTTTAAAAGCATTTTTTCTACAACCTCTTCCGCTGAAAAAAATGCTTTAAAAAGTAAAAAAAAAGAAAGGCCTCTAATGATTGCATGGCTCAGCTGGGCATGGTGGGGGAGTGCAGGGATTTTTGCTACCGGTTCTCCGAACCACCCGCCACCATTGCTATTGGATCGGGTGATCTGGTCCGAACCAGGAGCATTTCACCCCTGCATGATCCTCATAACCAGGGGTAGGCTCTTCGGCCGAAGAGGTGATTAAAAAAATGCTTTGAAAAGCCTCTCACGATCCCAGCTGTGTTGCCTGATCAGCAGAGAGGCTTTTCAAAGCATTTTTTTCTGCAACCTCTTCGGCCGAAGAGGTTGTAGAAAAAATGTTTTGAAAAGTTAAAAAAAAAAAAGTTGGCCACGCCCACCCAGTCACATTACTCCCCCCACCAAGCCACGCCCACAGAACCGGTAGTAACGAATTTTACAGTTCACCCCTGGGATCATGTAATGGTTTGCTATAACTTGTCTAGCCCTAAATTTAGAGGTCCAAGCCAGTATTTCTTTGCAACAATAATTATTAATCCTTTCTGGAAATAAGCAAAAGAAATGAAGCAAGGAGCCATAGCTTAAAGAATTATTCTTGTGGGGAAAAAAGAAGTAGTAGAATCCTATGCTTTTTGATGTCGAACAGTGACTCAAAAACAAGCCTTCTTAATAATGTAAGGGTTCCCAATGTAATTTCCAGCACTAAAACAATGTATTGATACATTTAGGAAAGTAAGTGGAGCAGAAAAACAACAAAAAACAGTGCTTGTTGTGAGGTATTTTCTTTTCCTCCTTCACATCCCATAATAACAACAACAGCAAGAAGATCAATAGTCAGTTGAAACAAGTGGAATGAGAGTGACACTCCATGGCAGTTTCAAATATAAAACCTCTTTCTTCAAAAAAAAAAAAAAAGTTGGTTCCCCAGAGAACTGTGGTCTGTTCGTTGAACAGACTGAACGATATCATTGTAATTTTGGAAATGGAAATGTAAGGCTTTCTTTAATTATTATTTCTTTAAAAAGCTGCAGCAACATATGCACGATGCTAGTAGCGTTGCTATATTTGTGTGTCTCACTCACTCCACCATTCTGCTGATTTGGATGTTTTATTTTGTTCTCTTTTTCTAAGAATTTTATTGTAGACTAAGTGGTGCTTTAGCCAACCACATCAGTCATTTTTTAAAAAAGAAAATCCAGATTGATTCAGTTAAAAAAGGTAAAAGGTAAAGGTTCCCCTCGCACATATGTGCTAGTCGTTCCTGACTCTAGGGGGCGGTGCTCATCTCCATTTCAAAGCCGAAGAGCCAGCGCTGTTTGAAGACGTCTCCGTGGTCATGTGGCCGGCATGACTACACGCCAAAGGTGCACAGAACGGTATTTCCTTCCCACCCAAAGGTGGTCCCTATTTTTCTACTTGCATCTTTTACGTGCTTTCAAACTGCTAGGCTGGCAGAAGCTGGGACAGGTAATGTGGCCCTAGGGATTCGAACCGCTGAACTGCCGACCTTTCGATAAACAAGCTCAGCGTCTTAGCCACTGAGCCACTGCATCCCTTTGATTCAGTTATCATGCCAATAAAAATGATCAATAAGCAATATTGCCTACATGCTCAATAGCAGCGTTTGCAGATAATACTATTCTGGAGGGTATGTTTTGGATTAAGGTGATGGCTAACATAACTTCATACTTCTGTATTTAAAAAGGTAAAGGTTTCTACTGCCCAGTTGTGTCCGACAGTGCTCATCTCCGTTTCTTAGCTGAGGAAGGCAGCGTTGTCCGAGTACACTTCCATCGAGCATGACTATATGCCAAGGTGCATGGAACACTTCGCTTTCCCACCAAAGTGGTATCTATTTATCTATTCGTATTTGCATGCTTTCAAACTGCTAGCTGGGTAGGAGTTGTACAAAATAATGGGAGCTGACAAATTCAGCATCTTTTAACTGCTGAGCCATTGCTGCTCCTGTACTTACTCATACATAAATATTTCTTTGTTCAGCACTTCATGAAGATAAGAGAAGAGGATACAGGATGATGGGGAGGATGTATTTGATATGGGCAAGCAAAAAGTGATCCAACCGAGATTGTATCAAAAGAACCTTAATAATTTCCTTTCTAATAGATGGCATTTAGATCCAAAAAAACTAGCCTGTATGTATCCAAACTTACAACCTAAGTGGTGATGTGGATGTGAAGATGCTACGTATTTTCATATATGGTGGACATGTAAAAAAATTAAGGCTTTTTGGATAAAAATATGGTGGATTATGCAAAATATTGTAAAGAAAAAGATTAAATTTACACCACAGGTTTTTTTGTTGGGAATAGTTACGGATTGTACTGTAATAGAAACTAAGTTGGTTTTGAATTTAATAACAGCTGCCAGGTTACTGGTGGCACAGTATTGGAAAAAGGAAGATCCACCTACTATTGAGGAATGGACACTAAAAGTTCTGCATTTGGCAGAGATGGCAAAAATTTCAGCATATCTTAAAGACCATTCAAACGAAAGATACATAACGGAATGGAGAAGATGGATTGACTATATTCAAAACAAGTATCAGACTAAGAGGATTCATATAGCTTATGAGTGAAACATTTTTAACTTTTAGCTTATGTTTATAGTGTTTTGAGTTATAAGGAGTTAAAGACCTAGAAAGAATTTGAAGTCAACAATTTGTTAGCATATTTTAGTTTTATGTTTGTGGATGCTATACCCTGTACTTGTTCTGGGAAGTCAAGGGAGGGGGTGGGGGGAAGGCTGAGGGGGGATGGGTGGGAGGGCAAGGGGGGAGGGAAGGGCTGAGGGGGGAAGGGCGGGGGGGAGAAAATGTTTGTATTTCTTATAAAACTTTTCAATAAAAAAAATAATAATAATTTCCTTTCTCTTCTTTTGAAGAAACATCCTTGAAAAGCAGCTAACTCATTGAGCATTTTTCAGTGCTGTCAAATCTGCTGATAGCCATTACAGTCTTTCCAAAAGAAGAAGGAATGGAAAGGTTGTAGAATAAGAGACAAACAACTTCTTTGGGAATCTGCTGAAAGCTCAGCGGTTATGCTGCTTACAGGGACATATTGGGAAGGGGGGGAAATCAAGATGGCAGCCACAGCTGTGTGATCACTCTTTTGAACTTGTGTCTTGCTTTGATCATATGTGGGTAGTCCTCAATGTATCCCACAACTGGGACCAGAATTTCCGTTGCTAAGCAAGGCATTGTTGAGTCACTAATGAATGGTGGTAAGTTGAGGGCTATCTGTATCACAACCTCCATTTTGACTTTTTGGGTGCCTTTAATGAAGATGCTGCTGCTACTAAAGGAACAAGTTTGCTTCCATTATATTCTACATTTGTACATTCATTGTACATTGTAAAGAGAACTGATCCTAGAAAAAATTCTTCAGTTGTGCTCTCCTCTCAGTCAAATAAAAGAAATGCTGCTCCCTCAACTTCTCTCTCAGGCAAGTTGGGAAGCTTTAATAACATATTCTTTAAAAATCTGTCTGGTGTTCAAGATGAAAAACAAAAATCATGACCAATATCGTTTCAGGCCATATCTTCTGCTGCCTCTGTTTTCAGAGTAATAAAGCTTCATCTATCTGTAGTTCATAATTCAAAAACAAAAATGACAGCCAGCAAGAGGCATTATTGAGACCTCATGTTGCAGAGGGTTTTATTTCTTTTCCATTTAAAATATATGGCTCTGCTAAGATTTGCGCCAATAGCATTCTCATTACCATCGTAAATAATTCAGTGATATTAACTATCCAAATTTGTACTGCTTCATGAAACATTTTTGCTATCTTCTTTGTAAAGAGGAGAGGTGACATTGAAATCCAAGACGTGAGCCTTGATTATGGAGGCATCCTCAAATAAATAATTTTCTCAGTCTATTTAATATTGCTGAAGTCAAACACGCTCTATCACTTCCTGGAAACAGCAATCTACCAAATATAAAATAGCAGTACACGCAGCCTCAAAAGTTTAGATACCACCACCCTAAGCCTCCAAAAAATATTACCCGAGGCAGTTGTGTTGTTATTGCTGTTGTTATTCTAGTATTAATAATAATAATACTAGAATAACTTAACAACTAATATATTGTTAAATAAAGCTTCAGAAAAATCATTAAACAAATGACAGAAGGGTAAATATATTAATTATATTTAATTTAAATTGCCTTCAAAAATCAATGAAATAAAATCAAATTTAGCTTTCATTGAAGGTCAGTCGGCTGTATTTGTTGAAGCATCCCTTAACATGACCTTAGCAAGCAAAAAACTATCCTAAATTTAATAAAAACTTCTAATTTAGACAGACGATTCAGAGGGCAGGTTCAGACGGCAGCTGAAGATAGAAACAAGTCTACACAAAGCTTCAAAGAACTGGGCATGTTTGATGTGGACAATAAAGAACTCAAAGAACAAGAAAATATTCTTCTAGTAACTCGGAGATTGTCATCTTAGGCAAAAGAAATAATTTCTGCTGCCCAGTGTCAAGGATTATATCTTATTGGTTTATGTTGATCTTGCCTCCCATTTTGCTTCAGAATCAATACTGTACAGTAAAATTTCTATCCAGTTGGGTGAAAGACAATTTCAATGTTTCTTTTCATTTTCAGTGGTGAAATTCTTACAGGCAGAGTGTGGTGTTCCTACACTTCTTTAGTTACATGATAGACAAAGTTTGTGTGTAAGTGTCCTGTTTTCATCCCTCCATGAGCTTCCAGCTCCTAGGTATTCCAACATCTAGTATCTCAATTTATCAGGAGGCCATTTCTCTTGTGGATTTTCTTCTCCATATTCAGAAATCTGGATATCCAAGAAGTTTTCCAAGTGTTTGGAAGGTGCGACACAATATTAACAGTAGTCCCCTTCATTCCTACCAACAATGAAATATATTAAAAAATGCCATGAGGAGGATTTAAAAAGAAATCCTCAAGTAGCTTAAAACTAGAGTAGAAAACAAATATTTTTTCACAAAAACATGATTTATTAATTATGGAATCAACTTTCTTGTGGACCCTACACAACAAGATAAATGTCAAGAGAATGGACAAATTCATGAAAGAAAATCTTAGGGGCAATCATCATGACTTCTGATGAAAGTATAAATTTTTAAAATGTTGTGAGTGGGAGAGAATGATGATCTTCATGTTGCATGTACTGGTAAGTTCCCAGGGACATCTGGTTGGCTATTGAAGGAAACAGGATGTGGGAATTTTAATCCTGTCTTAGACACCAACTTTCCCATAGGCAGTCCTTTGCTTTTGCCCTTAATTGCCTTTACCCTTTGTCAAACTACGGGGTGGTCTGGTTAGATAGACAGATAATGTCTTTTCTTCTAATCAAGCAGGTCAATTTGGTCATCTTGGCAAGTTCCATCATCTTCGCCAACCATTCCTCGATCGTAGGCATTGCCAAATATTTCTCTCTTTCTGCATAAAATAATCTCACAGTGGTTGTCATATATAAAAACAAAGTTCCATGACATTTTTCCAATTGTTTATCCATCAGTCTCAAGAAGAAAAGCTCTGGTTTCAGTTGCATGTTAATCTTTAAAAGTTTCTGAATCAACGTATTCATTAGAACTCAACATCTTCTAGCTTTTTTGCATCATCAATCATGATATAATGACCCTTCTTATTGTTCACATTTTCAACATAATTTTGAAATACTTTGATACATTCCTGATAATTTTCCTGGTGTCATATAACAACAGTACATCACTTTATAAAAGTTCTCTTTAAGATTATAACATAGTGTACATGTTAGTCCTGTCAACCACATATTTTCCCATTGTTTCATCTGTGTATTATAACCAACATTTTAACTCACTTTATCATACATTTTTCATTTGTTCTTCTGTTTCAAATTTCAATAAAAGTTTATACATTTTAGCAATCACATGTTTATCATTTGTGTACAATTCCATTTCAAAGTCAGTCTTAGAATATTCAGTACCATAAATTCCTTTGTCTCCTTTGTATCTTTTGATTACTGTAAATAGAAAAACCATTGGCAATTATGTCCTGCTGCAGTCAATTGGTGTCTTGATTTTATTTTGTATTCCCCTTGACAGAATTCTATTATCTCACTGTATGTTAACCATTTGAATTTGCTTTCTTTATTTCTAATCTGTAAAATGCTTCTTGTACTGAGAGGCCCCTGTATTTTCAAGGGGTGTTTGCAGGCACTATCTGTATTTTATCTATTCCATATTTTCAATATGGCACATCTAATAAACTGTAATTTTTTTAATGTATATTGACCTTAACTGTAGTGTACCACAAATATCTATGCCATCCAAATCTTAGGTCGTGTTCTTCAAACTCTAAAAGTCTTCTATTTCTCAGCAACACCATCTCTTTCATTCAAATCAATAACAAGCTACAAAATACAATTTCAAATCAGCTAAATCCTCTTTCTTTTGCATCTTGCAACACCTTATATTTAACTTGAGGGTTTTTCCCTTGTCATACAAACTTACATTTTGCCACTATTTTATTAATATTTATTTTATTTTGCCTTTTGCCACTATTTAAATAATGCATCAGTAGTCAAAACTAGTATTGTCTCAAACAAAGACATCATTCTAGGCAAAAGTAGTTATTTTTATCACAGATACTCTCCCCCACAATGCCAATTGTAATTTCTTTCATCTTAACATATCTTTTTAAACTTCATGTATAGTTTAACATAATTATTTTGAAAAAGATACAATTCACATTTGTCATCAGGATATCCAAATATTTTACTTTTTTCTCATTTTTAAAACCTGTTTTTTCATCAATTTTGTTTGTTTCTCTATTTTCATACCTTTTTATTAACATCTTCATCTTCTGTTTATTAATCTTAAAACCTGTGAGTGTACCAAATTCTTTTAATTTTCTCATTCATAATTCTATTCCCTTTATTGGATCATACAAAATTAATACCAAGTCAGTTGCCAATGGCCTTAAATTATAAGTTTCACTTTTAATCTTTACTTCAATAATGATTTTACCTTGTTTTATATCTATTTCAAGAATTATTTCAAGAACTAAAATAAAATAAAATAAAATAAAATAAAATAAAATAAAATAAAATAAACAAATAATTCAAGCCCCGCCCCTTTGAATTGTGACATCACATAAAGAATGCAGCTTTGCCTCTTGATTTTTTTGGCCGTATTTAAAGATGCTGTTGTTCCTTTAAGAGGCATAAAAATAAGATTTTTCTCTCTTTTTAATCAAGGTAGTACATAGGGTTTCCCTCAGTTTCTCTTCATATAAATTGGAAACAGCCAAGAACTGGAATAAAGCTTTTTTCCCAGCTCCAACATGCCTTTTTAGCTCTCTAGAAACTAGTTTAGCTGTAATTCAAACATTTATCCTCAGATTGCTTTTTTTAAATAAAAAAAAAATTCAATCAAATTTCATTTCCTTTATTCCATTACAGAGACCAAAATAACTGCAATAAAAGTGAATGTGAACATTTTTCTAAGTCTTTTATCCTCAGAAGCCTCCAAACTAAAAATGAGTATTCCACAAATAAAGAAAAAAAATCCCTGTATTTTAGTTTTAAAATGATTTAAAGAATTAAAAGATTTTTAAAAAATAATCTGTACACTACTATGGCCAACTTGTTCTCGCTCATTCTTCTCCAGATGCTGTACTACAACTGCCATAATCGTTATTCACTGGGAATTATGGGATTTGTAAAAACACATATGAAGAATTAGTTATGTTTTATCACATAACTACAAATAAAACAAAATAAAGACTGCTGCATGGTCTACAAAAATCTTTAGCAACAAGGAGAAAGAAATGTTTAATTGGAAAATATCTACAGACCCCTCATATCCTGGACATAAATTGTTTCAACTCCTACCCTCAAAATGACGCTATAGGGCACTGCACACCAGAACAACTAGACACAAGGACAATTTTTTCCTGAATGCCATCACTCTACTAAACAACTACTGTATTTTTTAGACTATAAGGTGCACCGGAGTATAAGACACACATAGATTTTGAAGAGGAAAACAAGAAAAAAAATAGTTTTTGACCTCTCCAGCCCCCAGGAGCACTTTGCAGGCCTCCCAAATCCTCTGCACATCCCATTTTTGTGAAAAACGGACCCATTTATGATGCACGGTGGGATTTTGGGAGGCCAAAAACAGGGCTGTATTTGGTCTATAAGACACACCAACATTTCCACCCACTTTTTTTGGGAGGGGGAAGTGTGTTTTATAGTCCAAAAAATACGGTAATTCCCACAATATTGTCAAACTACTTACAAAGACTGTATTACTATTATTCTTCTCATCCTTCCTATTACCTAACTCCTCCCACTCATGATTATAACCATGTTGCTTGTATTTTTATGATTTATATTGCTCTGTTTGTTTTGTAGTATGATTTGATTGCTTATTAGTAACCTATGACTATCATAAAGTGTTGTATCTTATGATTCTTGATCACGGGTCCTCAAACTTTTTAAACAGGGAGCTGATTCACAGTCCCTCAGACCGTTATGGTGGGGGGGCGGACTGGGTGGGGGGGCGTGGCTAGGTAGTCATGTGACTGGGTGGACGTGTCCAATTTAACAGTCTATTTTTTTTTGCCTTTCTCCTTCCTAAGCTCCTGTTTAAATTGTTTTCAAAGACTTTTAATTTAAAACAGTACTTTACAAGCCCAGAGCTGCTTTTCAAGGCTGCACCACCCCAGCCCCTATTCAAACACCGGCCCTGGTTCTTATGGCTGTGAAAAAGATCCCGTTTAAATTGTTTTCAAAGACTTTTAATTTAAAGCAGTACTTTACAAGCAAAGAGCTGCTTTTCAAGGCTGCAGCGGTGAGATCACCCCTCAGCTGGCCTTCCAGCTGGCTCTCTGGAAGATAAGGGCCACGGCAAGGGGCGGGGCTTAATCACACCACTCCGCGGGCCAGATACTTTGCATTGGCGGGCTGTATACGGCCCATGGGCCGTAGTCTGAGGATGCCTGTCCTTGATGTACGTTTTTTTCTTTTTCTTTTTCTTTTTTTCCTTTTATGTATTCTCAGAGCATATGCACCAAAGACAAATTCCTTGTGTGTCTAATCACATTTGGCTAATAAAGAATTCTATTCTGTTCTGTTCTGTTCTGTTCTGTTCTGTTCTGTTCTGTTCTGCTCTCTGCTCTCTGCTCTCTGCTCTCTGCTCTCTGCTCTGCTGTGCTCTGCTGTGCTCTGTTCTGTTCTGTTCTGTTCTGTTCTAAATATGATAACTAAAGAGTATGGTGACTTTTCTGTAATGTCCTCAAATTATATGTGGATAAAAAACAGGAGGGAAAGTTCACCATTTATATCCATAGAACCAAAATCCCACAAAACACTCTATTTAATTCCAAATGTATACAATAAGGTTTGTCCTGACACATTTCAAATGCTCAATCAACCTTACCATTTTTTGCTTCAGCGTTAACCATGAGGCAGCCAGAGTGCAATATTGCTTTTTTAAAAAACAAAACTCACAGTAAAAAAGATAAGAATCTCTATTTCGCCTTCTCCATTTCTGTAACATTAGCTAGTAAGCATTTTAATTTTCCTTGATTATGTCCAGACTACAAGGGTTGCAAGTAGACGCTTCCCTTAAGCAGAATATGTTCCTTAGACGTTCCAGATAATAGGAAGAAGTACTGACACGCCAGGGAAAGGTGGAGGAGTCAGCCAGACATTTAAAATATCATAAACGGTTCTGGTTCAAGAAAATTCCAGCTGGCTAATAGTTAATTCAAACCTGTTTCCCATCCTTCGTTGGAGGTGCAACGGGAGAAAACAGCAGTCTAGAAATGTGATTGCAAAATATCTATTGGAGCCAGGACAGAGAACTATCTCAGCCTTCCCCTGCCAGATTATTAGAAAGAGAGATCTGGGACATGCATTGTGGGAGTCTGGATGTAAAGACTCTGAAAACGAGATCATCCCTATGTACAGGAAGCAAATGGAGGTTGTCATTGTTCATTAGGAACAAGAGGCTATTGTTAGAAGCAGTGGCAGTAGAGGTATGGTACTGGCTAAACTTCACTGCTTAGCTAATACCCAATTCTACTGTATCATCATCATTCAGATAGAAAGTCACACAAGGATATCCAAGTAACAGAACAGAACAGAACAGAACAGAACAGAACAGAACAGAATAGAATAACAGAGTTGGAGGGACCTTGGAGGTCTTCTAGTCCAACCCCCTTCTTAGGCAGGAAACCCTACACCACTTCAGACAAATGGTTATCCAACATCTTCTTAAAAACTTCCAGAGTTGGAGCATTCACAACTTCTGGAGGCAAGTCATTCCACTGATTAATTGTTCTAACAGTCAGGAAATTTCTCCTTAGTTCTAAATTGCTTCTCTTTTTGATTAGTTTCCACCCATTGCTTCTTGTCCTACCCTCAGGTGCTTTGGAGAATAACTTGACTCCTTCTTCTTTGATACAGCCCCTGAGATATTGGAACATGCTATCATGTCTCCCCTAGTCCTTCTCTTCATTAAACTACACATACCCAGCTCCTGCAAACGTTCTTCATATGTTTTAACCTCCAGTCCCCTAATCATCTTGGTTGCTCTTCTCTGCACTCTTTCTAGAGTCTCAACATCTTTTTTACATCGTGGAGACCAAAACTGAATGCAGTATTCCAAGTGTGGCTTTACCAAGGCATTATAAAGTGGTATTAATATCTCAAAGCAAAGTTGCTCTCTTGCCCAAAGTCCTCCAAAATCTAGGAGCTCAGTATTTTTGTGGGTGTTCTTCTGGGAAACTGCAACATGAGAGCTTTGTTTCAATCAACCAACCAATCAATCAATCAATCAATCAATCAGAACATCGCTGGAAGGGACTTTGGAGGTCTTCTGGTCCAAACCCTGCTCAAACAGGAGAGCCTATACCATTTTAGACAAGTGGCTGTCCCGTCTCTTCTTAAAAACCTCCAGTGGTGAAGCACCTACAACTTCTGAAGGCAACCTGTCCCACTGGTTCATTGTTCTCACTGTTAGAACATTTCTCTTTCATTCCAGGTTGCATCTCTCCTTGATTAGTTTCTATCCATTGTTTCTTGTCCTGCCTGATGGTGCTTTGGAAAATAAATTGATCCCCTCCTCTTTGTGCCAGCCCCTCAAATACTGAAATACTGCTATCATGTCCCCCCTAGTCTTCCTTTTCTCTAGACTAGCCAAACCCAAATCCTGCAACCATTCTTCATATGTTTTTTTAAGTATTTTTTATTAAACATTTTTTAAAAAACAAAAAGAAAGCTTTAACACTTTTTCTGTTTCAACAGTTTTGCATCAGTCCAGAATTTCATACTTATACATTTTTTCCTCCCTTATTTGTACTATATCTTTTATACATATACTTCTAATATTTATTTATTTACATATATACACAACAATACCCGTGTACCCACTTCTATTTCTACAGTTTTTGTTTCCTCATATTAGCAATTATACTTCAACTCCTATTTCGACCATTATTTAATGTTTCCCTTCCTTTTATTTCTCTCGTCCAACCATCATACCATTTCTCCCACATTAAGTAATATTCCGTTTCCCCTTTTTCTTGAATCTCCTTTGTTAATTTGTCCATGTGTTTTAATCTCCAGGCCTTTAATCCTCTTAGTTGCTCTTCTCTGCCCTTCTTCCAAAGTCTCAACATCTTTTTTGTAATGTGATGACCAAAGCTGGATGCGGTATTCCAGGTGTGTTCTTACTAAGGTTTTATAAAGTGGTACTAATACTTCATGTGATTTTGATTCTATGCCTCTGTTTATACAACCAAGGATTGTATTAGCTTTTTTGGATGCTGCTGCACACGGCTGGCTCGTATTTAAGTGATTGTCCACTAGGACTACAAGAGCCAGGCCATTCAAAAAGCCTTTGAACACGTGTGCTTG